AATTTTTTATCTCCTAAATGGAAAATAATTCTCTAAGCATAGAACCAGTAGAGGAAAGCACAAAGGAAAAATTAGTCCGTTGACTACATCATTCAACAAATATTTATTCAGCACATTTTTTTTCAGTCCCTATGCTCCCAGTTGCATATTCAGCACATTTTATGTACCATACACTGGGAAGCACATAAAATGAAACATGTTGTATTTTTTTCCTAAAATATGAATGAAATTAAAAAACAACCAACAGGAAAAGATGTTTTTAGTAATTATGGCAATGTATTAAGATCTTTAACAAATAAATAGTTCATATAAATTTATAGAAAAAGTGCTAGAATTCTAGTAAATGAAGGAGTACAAACTGACCATTCAAGAAAAGGAAAATAATGTTTCATAAAAATTTGGTTTTTAAAAAAGGTTCAAAGTCAATAATTAAAGACACGCACATTAAAACAAGTTATCGTGTATAACTTACCAAATTCACAATGTAGGTAAGAAATAAGATCTTTCAAATACTGCTGTTTAGATAAAATTCATAGAAAGAAAGGTGTAAAAACGACTTTTTAAAACTTCACACTTTTTGATAACTTTATTCCACTCCTAGGAATCTATCCTAAAAGAGTAATCAGAAATGCTAGCAAAGAGTTATGTGTAAGGTGTTCATTGTAACATTGTCTTTTATACAAAAAATCGGGGGAACAAACGATCCAGCTATAGAAGAATAGATGCTGTTTAGGTGAATAATAGCACTTCTATAGAATATAAAACTGATACACTCATATTAAATGATGTTTCTGAGAGCTTTGATGACATGAATACAATTAACTGAAAAGAGCAAAACATCAAGGAGTATAATCCCTTAATCATGTAAAAAATACATACAGAGAATTGATAAGAAGGAAGTATGCCAAATATTTTTTCTAGGGTTTAAGTGAGGAATTTGTTCAAATTCTCTTCAAATTTTCTATTATGAACACCAAAAGGTGAAATCAGAAATTAGGGATATACATCGTGGTGATATTTTAAAAGAAAAAAATTAATGGATATGTCAAGTATTTTTCTTGCTAGTATAAATATTTTATATTGCTATTTGTGCCACCATTTTGCCTAATTACCATAAATGGAGTTATAAAAAGTGGTGGAAATATTTTCTCCAATGTCAGTAAAATAATATTAGCTCCTGGAAACTTACAGCCTGAAATGATACTGCCAGAGCCATATTTAAACCTGAATGCAAGGATGA